AGGGTGGACGTGAATGAATCGCCCGGACCCATTGACTTTTGCTTCTACTAATAGGTTCGTCAAGGTTTGTATGGGCCTTACCATGATCCTTCCCCTTGGTTCGGCGGGCATCTCATGAAACTCCGTTTGGCCAGCCCGAAGGACCCCAGCCTCACGTAGACCACGGCTGGGTTCACACCACCTGGGCGTTCCAATGCAACCCAGCCTGCAGTTGGGAATGCGAATATGAGAGGGGGGTCTCAAGATAGGGGACCAAAAAATACTCGCTCTCTCCTGAAAGCTATTGAATCTTCAAAACTGTTGCTGCCAAAAAAAGAGCCTTGCTATCAGAGTGCCCTTTCTCGGTGCCTGACTGCCGGGTGAAGAACAACACTTTCTTCAATGCAATTCTCCCCTGCTTCTGTTGAGATATTTCTCGGATTTCTGCGCATGTTCCTTGCCATGTACGCTCAGGGCCCGACCAAAGGATGACGCGAAGTCAAGAGGCCCAACATGCAGCGCATCGTGGGGTACATCGACATCACCTGGCAAGACAGGGCATTCACCACCGCCGCCGCCGCCACCACCAGCCACCAATGTGAGACAGCCGTATTGGTGGCAGCCATGGATGTGCTTACGGGTTCCCTAAAGTGGAAATCAAGATGTCGATGTCCAAATAATGGGGAACAAAGCAAGTGATTTCTGAAAACCAACACCCAAAGGGGGGTGCGCGCCCCACATATCCGCATTGCAGGTGCATGCGGCAGCCTATGGGAGCTTCTCCAGTTGGCCTCAGCTGAGCCAGGCTGAGGCTCTCAGCCCCTCAGGCGGAGTGCGTTGAGCGCCGCACGACAAGGGTGGGCTCCTGCACCAAGTGAAGAGTCTCAAAGTGGACCATTGGAGGTCGGGTTCAAAGAAAAGCACAGAAAACCCGCTTCACGGCACCAATTCGCATTTGGAGCAATCAGCTGTGCGCTGCGTTGTGCTCTCTTGCTTTCGCGCCTTCCGAGGGACAAATCCGCCAAATTGAGGTCCTCAGTGAGGCTTCTGCCTGAGCGGCCTGGCGTCGGCAGGAGGGCCCGGAAAGACGGCAACAGTCATTGTTCTGGGCCTCTGGGTCTCTCAAAGTGAAAACGATCTTGCCTCTCAAAATACGGGAAAATGTCCAGGATGTCACTTTATAGCCAGTTTTCCAGGGCTCCCGATATTTCGCACTTACACTTCACCCAAGGAAACAAATCTACAAGTGGCCAAAAATGATGTTTAAACCTGGAGCGGGAATTCGGGGCGGCCGGTTTGCAAAATCACAGAAGGGTCTGCCTTGACAAAACCCATCTCCGCTAAACCCGCCTACTCGCCGGGGCGAGCCAGCCCTCACAGGGCTGACCTGACGCGAACGGGGGTCTTTTCGGGAAGGTTGGCCTCCCCTCACTGAGGCCTTGGAATCCAACCCAAAGGAGCTTTTGAGCGTGAAATCCGGCCAGAGCCACTGAAGCTTGACCTGTGAAGTATCCGCAAACGCTCAGTAAAGCCTCGTTCGGCCTCGGTGGGGCTTCCTTTGCGATGAGGCTCCCTAAAGGACTGGTTGGCGTTGCCTGTTTACGCAGAGATTTGAGTGAGCAGCTCCCAAAACTCGAGCCGACTTTTGGTTCTGCCAACATTGCTGTACAGGTGCAGGCCCCACCATAACCCCCATGCCGGTACTACAACCACCTGGTGAAAATGGCAATTAGTTGGGCACTGCTCAAGTGATGTGTAGACACTGAGCTGTTTTGCAAGCAGTCACAATCCAGCAGGGTGCCTTTTTAGGATCACCAGGTCAACACCTCAGGGGTTGTTAATTTCCCCAAAAAGAAAGCCTTTGATTCAAATTCTACCCTTGGGAAATCAACAAATAAAAGCCTGGTCCAGTGTGTTCCCGAAGCCCGACCCGCCTCTTCATACAAGACCTGCCAAGACCACAAGGGAAAGCAGTCCAAAGGCAACAAGTGGTTGCTTGCAGTGCCTCTGCAATGCTGGATTCCTCAGCCAGCAAGGCAAGGACAAAGTCCGGACTGCAAACAAGACCATCAATTGCAATTGATGTTGCCTGCATCTTACCACCATCGACCCACACGCAGCGCAAAGTCATCTACTGGCCATGCAGGAAAGGTTCGAAGGCCCGCATGTGCCACTTCTGGTTGTTGAGCGAAGACAGTGAAGACCTTGCTTTCGCAAACAAAGCCGGCCGGCAGTGCACGCCATACCTGCTTTGAAAACTCAGCTTGAGTCACAGCTTTGCAGAAAACGAATCGGAAGGTTTCTATGCAAGTAACCTACGAGTAGTTACAGTACAGGAAGAGATGCCAAGTTTTCCTCGCATAGCTGACATGATCCAAACGAAATCACAGCTTGTCGACGGATCCCCACCGTTCCACCCCCAACTGGGAAAAACATAGGGCCTAGCCTTCCATTCTTTGTTACCCTTGTACCTACCAAGCGAAAATGTATGGGGGCCCTGGCCGCTTGATTCTGGGTACTCCCTCCCCACCAATCACTACGCATTCTTGGAATCAGGCGGCAGGCTGCGTGCAGCATGGATTGCGTCCTGTGCTTGCTGGCATGTGCCCGCATGTGCCTCTCTCTGACTCTCTGACCGGCCAGTAAGTGAGTAGAGATCCACATTGGGGTGAAGCTTTTTTGTGGAAATCCGCTGTAAGTTGCTTTTAAAGGGAAATGAAAGGGAAACACAAACCCACATGAAGGCCTGCTTTGAGGATATTTCCGGGTTTGCGCAATTGACAAATGTCCACTGCACAGTGAAGCTGCCTGTCACAATGATGCTAATGATACAAGTTCATTTGGGTAATCTTGCACCTTGCTGTTGTGTGCATGTTTGCGGATGCGAATTCGTGTTGCGTGCTCTCTTGGTGATCCGCCCTCTTACACAAAGTCAATGTACGAGTTAGCACATGAGCAGCGAACCCGTTTGTCCCGCTTATTGTGGCCAGTTTCAGGTGTATCCCCTGACTAGTATTCCCCTCTGAAGGATGTTTCAGGGATATAGAACTCGATGTCCGGTGAGAATTCTAGAATACCGATAGGGTGTCATGACACACTCGCGAGTGTGCCCTGTGCAACCCTCTTTGAAACAGCAGATTGTGATAAATGAGCCACTGAATATTCATTGTCCCCAACTGACGCAGAGTTTTGGTGAGTAACCCCCCATTTCCGAGTGGTATTGTAGTTGTGCCCCATGTCATCCGCTTTGCTACCGCAAATGACTGAGATGTTGACCGTTCTGTCGGAATGGCGCCAGTTTATCGCTCCGTCACCAGCCCACGCACTCCTTTGTAGTAAGCCCGACGACTGCGGCGTACCTCGATGCTGATCCAACACGGAGTGTCGAGCAGGGTCGGGCCAACCCCTTGTAACATGTTCAAACCACTATGGCCTCCTGTTGGATTCCCTCTTCGGGCAACGTTGTTGAACCAAATTTTGAACAACCCCTGGCATGCAAACGCAAGCATGCTGCAGGTGAGCAGGTGTGGATGCAAAAATGTCATGCAAGGACTTTCTGCTATAGGCTGTGCAATGCACAAATTACAATGTAATGATGTATAACATGCTTCCCTGCGTGACACTAGTGAGAAGCACCCCGTGAAACCAATGGCAAGATAGGGGTAGGTCCGTGCAATTCTGCCCTTTGAAACTGAATACGCGGACTCCTTGCGAACAGAAGCAAGCCGAATGAGTACTTAGGTCTTGTCAATCAACCATAGGGGTGACAAAGCTTCGCGTCACTCTGGACAAGGCAACCAGAAAGCGGGAGACAAAGGCTTTCATTGCGATTACTGATCCCAGTCCGCACAGATCAGTGGCAACATGTTACATGGCAATATTCGATTGCGGTTGGATAGCCAAGAGTCAACCATTGCCCGTTGTTTCGTCAACGAAGATCTACATTGAGGCTTGTCCACAAAATGCGGATTGCCATTTAAGCCTTTCACAATCACGGCAGTGGGATTTCTGGGTCATTCACAACAATATCGTCTTGCAAACCCTCCAAGAATGTCTTTGTTGTTGATGAACGGTGGATTCTCCAAAGCGAGCAGAGAGCAGCACGCAGCTGCTGTCGCTTCACTCTCCGAGCGGGTCGACACCTGTGCTGAGGCACAATGTGACAAGCCACAAGCAGGAAACAAGAAGCAGCCTGCGTGCTTTGCAGATCTTGTGAGACCCCGTACCTCAAAGGGATCTCCCTATAGTTATCCAAGGCAGGGAGCAACTTCTTGTGAACACAATGGAAATTGTCAGTCCCGTATGCTATTTCAAACCAAATGCCTCGTCATCCAGCAGCGGCGGCCGATTGCGCCCCTTTCCGGAGGCAACACCTGCAGCAAAAAGACGAAAGTGCCGATAAATGAGGGAACCCCCAAAATTGGTCGTATTACTTTAAATTCCCCCTTTAAACAACCCCAAAAGGGTCAACCTCCCAAAACGACACATGTCGAGCCCGGACAAATCAACCCGAGTGATCAACATCCAAGGGGCGATTAATCCAACGCTCATTGACACCTTGAAAGCTTGTGGCAACACAGCAACCAATGAGGCCAGTACCATCATGCCCAGGCTCTTGCGATTCTTCCATCAGGCATTGTAGAATTGTGCGATCGGCATGGAAAGCGGGGGTGCAGTGAACTGGGTGTGTTGATCGTTTGAAAGGAACCAAAAGGAAAGCCACCATTTTCGGGGGTGAGTTTATCCTTGCGGGTACCCAAGTCGAGTAAGAGGCGAAGGGGGGATTTTAGGCAAAATGTCACAACATGTTGGGCGCCTGTTCTCTGACATCTCCAAGGCACATGTCTGATGGTGGCTGTCGGATGCTCTCTTCAGTTGCATGATACGTCATTGGACGTCAGGCTCAAGCCGCCTGGAGCCACAAGTCGATGCACACACTCAATTAAAGAAGAGATCGATCGCTCGTGCGCTCGCAAGAGGCAAACCGCTCGCACTTGCTAAACCGTGCCCTGGCATTTGAATCACATTGTCTTGGTCTCATCGAGGATCTCATCTGCTGCATGTTGCTCATCGCTCACCTCGACGTTGTTCCCCTGGCAAAGCCCACTGGGCAGGGAAACAACCGCAGTTAAGCCCTTGACATAGCCACAAACAGAATCGACCATGAGAAAGAGAATGCACTGCGGGGTCTCAAATGGTGGACCCCTTGTGGTTTCCTGAGGAAAAAAAAGGACGCAACATGAAAACAACATGTTCTTTTTGCTGGGGGGGTTATCCTATGTTTAAAACATATCCAACTTGCCCACCACATCCATTGTCATTCTCCAACAGCTTCGCAGCCTGTTGCTCATCGATCTCAACCATTGTGCCCGCAGGGGGTGAGTCGACTTCTACCTTGGCTCAAAGATGTGCAGACTTGCGAGCACCTCAACGTGTATAAGCCTCACTATGGTTCTGCTACAATGGCCAATATGAGTATTGGGCGCTGCTCACATTTGGGAATCTCACCTTTACCTCAAGAAGGTGGCGCTTCATGTCCACCAACCAGTTGGGTTTGTCTCAAAATAGGGGAACCCCGAAAATGGCAACGGCTTCATTTTGCTCTGCCTCACCATAAAAAAAGGCAACCAACAAAGAACCGTCCATTTGGGAGCATATCCGCGTCAAACATCACGAAGTGCTCACTTGCCGCAAGGCCGCAGGGCCATCGCTCTCGACCACCTGGGCTGAAGCAGTGAACTCGAAGCTAAACAAAACAGCATGCGCTGCCTCATGTGGCTTTGTTTGGCTCGGCACCCTTTTCACCTTCGCTCTAAGGGACACCAAGAGGAAAGCCACCATTTGAACTGAGCTATTCTAACACAAATCACAATGTGTGAAAATGTAGGAACCATGCAGGAACCCCGTTCAAAGGACTGATGCTCTGTTGACCTGTGGAAGCCTGAGAAAATGTCCGAACTGTGCAGCTCAAGTGGCTTCCGTGCCGCGAGGTGGTTCTGGGGGTCCCTCCAAGCCCGTCATGTAGCCCTTCGCGCGGGCCATGTAGTCTGCAGCTTCCTGCAGGCACAAAAGGGTGCGGGTGTAGGTAGCCTGCACCGGTTGGTTTAAAGTTTGGGAAACCCAAAGGAACGGCTGAGGGATTAAAAAAAAACGGGATCAAAGAAAAATTAGACAGGTAGTAGTAGCAGCAGCAGCAGTAGTAGTAGTAGTAGCAGTAGTAGTAGTAGTAGTAGTCGTAGTAGTAGTCGTAGTAGTAGTAGTAGTCGTAGTAGTGGTAGTCGTAATAGTCTTAGTAGTAGTAGTAGTAGTAGTAGTAGTAGAAGTAGTCGTAGTAGTAGTCGTAGCAATCGTATCACTGCTACCGCGCTAACTGCCCTTTCCACCACTAACTTAGTCTACCCTCTCCACCAGTTCCACTCTATCTTGTTAAATCGCTAACTGGCGCGCCTACTAACTTGCTAGCTGACTAACTTGCTAACTGGCTAACCTGCCAACTTACCAACTTATTCTGCGTCTCGCGCTGGATACTGACTTACTAACCGCCCTTTGCTCCAGGGTGCACCGGATACTAACTTACTAACTGCCTTCTCCTTCATATGGTGTGGAATATTTGTGTTTTTTTCCTCCTGAATTAATCTATGCTTACGCCTAAAGGAACGCCACCATTTTGGGGGACCCCCATTTGACATATGTTTTATCATGTACTCAAAACTGGAACAGGAACATCTACAAGACGCATGCCGAAAAGGCTTCTGATGCAACTGTGTTCAGGTGTTTTTGCTGCCTCTCAACATTTAGGGCCCTCGTTGTGTTGTGTGTCTCGGAAAGGACACATTTCGAGGATCGCTTAACTTTGGCGCATGTCCAATGCGGTGTCCTTCTGATCTAACCTTCTCAAGAGCTGGGCACTCCCCTTGAAATGCTTCGCTTGGTACTCTTCTGGGAGCAAGAAGGGAACGGCTCGAAGTTTGCCGGACTTAAACCCAGTGGTTGATTTCCCTTAGAAGGAAATGGGACCTCTTAGCCACAAAACTTGCTGGACTTCAGCAGACAATCAAGAGGGGTTTGGGGATGAACCTGGGGATCTCCTCGGAAACCACGAGGGATGGCTCATATAGGGCTCTTTCCTTCAGGGACGTTGCACTTCTCCCCTGAGCAAAAGGTTGAACTTTTTGGACAAGCAATCTCCAAAAGGTCGCAGGGGCTAAGGCCACAGATATGATCGATGGAAACTGCACGAGGGCTCCTGGGCTTCTTTCTCCAGCAGCGCCTCCGCGCTGTTCCCCACTTCTGGCGAGCGACGGTGCAATCTCAAACCGGAACCCGGATTCATGGCGCTGGGCCCGGTGAGTTCCCGGCAAAGCAAAAACTCCCAAAAAGGGCGGGATCCCATAAGCCTTAGCAATCCGTCAAGCCAGGTTACACGTAGCTATTCAAGCTATTCAACGGCCCTCGCAAATTGGGAAGACCAAGTCGGAAGAACCAAGCCGGTTGTACGGCTATGTCTCAAGGTTGCTTAGCTTCCCTCAAAAGCTTTAACCCACCCTGCAAAGGAGTACCCCTCAAACAAGTCACTGAGAGTCTCCATTACTGATTAAATTGGGCCATGGAATTCCCCTGTTTTTGGTGGGGATTTACCCCCCATCTTCGTTTCCTTTGGTTTCCAACCCACCCCGAAAAGCGCTTTTCCGTGCCTGCGAGCTGCTGGCTCGGAGCGTACCACATGGCGGCGTCGTCCTTGCTGACTTTTTTTGGGTGACTCTAAGTGGGTGTCTTTTTTGAACGTAGATCCCTTTTGGGGGGGTTTGCAAGGGAACCAGCAGGCAAACCACAACTTTCGGGTCCCCGAAGTTTGGAGACAAACCCAAATAGGCGGCTCTAGCAAATGGGCTGGAATTTGAACCGGTCCCCCAACTAGCAATGTCCAAAGTCAACACCGCGTGGGTCCAGGTAAGCTCCCGAAAATTGTCTGCTGCGACCAGGGAAACTGCAAAAAATGAGCCTTCCAGATGTCAATTGAAATTCAAAATACACGTTCAACAAACATTCAATTATGTTCGGGCAAACAGGCTTCTAAGTAGACGCAACTTGCATTTTGGTAGTTGACGAAGATTCAGAACTTGCATGCCGCTGTCTCCTGGATGGGCTTTCAAGCTCGATTCTGCAGGGCGGCGTGCCAAAATGAGATTTCTCAATGGCCAGCATGTTTTATGGGTTTCTTTTAGTTTGGCTTGACCGGCTTGATCGCTGAATTTCAAACTTCCCTCGTTTGCTTGCCATTGCTTTTGGTTTTAAGCTGTTTCGCTTGATGCATCGTGGGAGACCCCCAACCTTCTCGGGTCTGTCTCCATCTTCGGTGTCCATTTCTGTTGGGTTCTCTTCGAATTCCCCGTGGTTTAGGCCAACCCAAAAGATCCCAAATGGGTACCCTCAACAAAACAAAAAAGTCGCCGACCCAGTCTCTTCTTTTGGAGGGTATATAATTACTCTCATTGGGCTTCTTTCCAAGGCAAACCAAAGCGAAGCCACCAAAAAATAGGGGGACCCCCATTTGAACAAAAACCAGACATCTGCACGAAACGTCAAGCTCCAAGCGCTTCGAATGCAACTGTGGCTCCGGCCCATTGATTGCGATTGCGCCAACCACATCGGTAGCTCCATTCACCCAGTTTCTCGGCAGGCGCAGTGTGGAAGCAAAACTCCATTGGTGACCATAGCAAACACCGCATAGTTGATTCAATGGTACGGGATGGACAGAATTCTGCACCAGTTGGCCAGTTTGCAGGTTATTTGCCCGAGTATCAGGGCTTCATCAATCTCAACTGGTGCAAATTCTTCCCATTCGGGAGTCGGCACACGTCCAAAACCCGCAGCCGCTTTTGGCGTAGAGCGACTCTAAGCTGCCCGCGCAGCCAGGCTCCGCTCCATTCTTAGCACGCCGCAGGTTTTGTGCTTTCGACCACGTCGAGGCTATGTTTCCCCCAGTACATCGCTGCGTCGAACAAACACGGCGCGTTGTCGCAAAGTCAAAAGAGGAAATGCTTAAGCGATGCTGGGAATTGCCCAAATGAAGTGTGTATGCCTTCGTTCCTTGTCAACATCTTACCCCTCATCTAATTGCAACACGTCTGAAACGCCTCCACTTTGGGCCTTCTGTCGCGCCTCGAATGTCCAAAAACGGTGGGTTATTAGCCTGGCACCAAACCGTTGCTTAAAAGACCAGCAAAACAAAGGTCAAAAACAAGTTTCTTTAGTTGGAAAACAGGGTAAAGTAGGTATATGAAACTTCTTTTAGAGTTGGCGGCCCTTTTTCAGGCCTGTTCGCTTTTCGGACCTCCATCCGGGTGAAATTGGAGGTCGGGAAAGACAAGAGACAAACAAATACGAAAAAACAAATACAAAGACAACAAAAAGCGTCTTTCCCAGCGCAAAGCTTCGGGGCCTTTGCCCCGAGGCCCCGAGGCCCCGGTTCCGGTGACACTGAGGATGGCACGCCCCGCAGCCAGCCCGGAGGTGGCCACCACTTGCCGTTCTTGTCAACGATGGCCCCTGGCCATTCTCCGAAAAAATGCCACGCCTCACAATAAAAAACGGCCCTAAATGGTGGTTTTCCCTCTGGCTTTCCTTTCAACCCACTCCAAAAAGTGTACCAAATGGATATGTCTTCCTGAACGACAGTTCCTTCGGGGCGTTGCCTTAATCTTGAAACAGCCCTGTATGCTTCGCATCTGATATGTTCGCAAGATATGTTCAGGCGGCTCTCCCTTTTTGCCAAGTTCGCGCACTGCATTTCTGACAAGAACCTTGGCACACGGAGCAAGCTCAGGGCATCTGAACATTAGGGTACGTGTGTCAAAATGCGAGGCAAACTACAAAAGGGCTCACTCCCTCGCTCCCTTGCACCCACGCGCAAGGCCCCAGCTTTCAGATTGCCAGGTGGCACCATCCAAGTCCTGCGGCATAGGTGCTGCGGAATGGCTGGCTCTCAGTAAGAAATCTACGCGGGTGTTGAGTATGCACCATTTCAGAAACCTGATTCCTTTCAGAAAGCCATAAGGATCGGTTCCCTTCCCCTGAAACCAGCAAGTCACATTCTCCTCAGGATGGGACCACCAGAAGCTGCCATTGGTGAGCACGCCAGCACCGGCATCGTACTCTTGTCGCCTAGCAAAACGCCGCAAGAGGCGACAAAAGCATCAGGGAGTCTTCCAAGTTCAACCTCGCGAGTGACTTGCTGACTTGCTCCTTGTGGTCAAGTGCCTTCCCATGGAGCGTAACAAATCCAGTCCAAAAAGTCACCAGCATCTTAAACCCTACATAGAGCGCGCCCAAACCCAAACCAAGCAGGGGGAGTAGCCAGGCACGGAGAATCTGCCAAGGTGCGAAGCATAGAAGAGGCAAAGACTCATTCGGGGCTGTGCCGCCCCTTGTGGTGGAACCGCATGCCTCAGTACTTAGGACTCGCCGACAAGCTGGCAACGTACCAAAGGCAAGCACTCCTCACCGTAGAGCGGGAGACAATCGCCATGTTGCATAGTGATGGTCCGCCCCTCAACCTGAAGAGATGCACTCCTTTTCCCCATTCTTCGCCAAGTTTGGCAGTTGCTGACTCAAAACACTGAAGCAAGAAAGCTCAAGCTTCTTCTCAAATGGGCCAAGCATTGGTCTCAAGCGAGCTGTTGACTCCACCGGACGATAAGCTGAACTATGAACCAAACTGACCACGCCTCAATCAAGCGTGGGCCACCCAGCGACAGGCACACCTACGCAGCAACGCTCCATAAACGACAACATTCTGAGCCTCTGTCAAACCACTGTTCGATGAACAATATGACTTGCTCCATACATGAATCTGAGCTTTGTTTGTGGGTAACAGGCAACAGGGCAAGGAACGATAACAGTAACAACGTCTCCATTGGGGCAACTGTGCCTGTGCCCCTTCTCTGTAAAAAGAATGGGATTCCCGTTCGGGACTCTCGGGCCAGCTCCTTTGGCCTTGCAAGTTAGATGACACGCAGACAATAATATGATTTGTTCCCCAAGAGGGAATGGCAAAATTGGGTTGCTCACCAGCATTTGATTGAAATGCCAAGAGACAACAGCAGACTACAATGCAATAGCTTTGATCATATCAGAAAACCAGCAAGTGTAGGATTGCCTGCCGACAGCGGTGGCGGTGAGGGCGAACTCTGCTCTCGCCTCAGCGCTCGCACTGCTCGCTGCGGACAACACACTTCTTCAGCGTGAGGGCCAAATGCGCCGCCAGTCACGTGGTGATGCCAAATCTTCAAGAGCTTTGCGGTCGAAGAGCCGTTCTGGTAAAAGTTGACAATGAGCTGAATCAAAGCCAGCTCCTGCGGCAGCTTACGACAAATGCAAGCATTGGAATTCAGAAGGTGGCGTGTCAGCCCAAGCACTGCAACAGATGCTCCTGCCTCCCCAGCAGACATGGTCTGCCTTGCAACGCCTACGAGCTCATCCACCTGAGTGCATTTGGCTTGCAAACAAGTTTCAAAGAGAATGTGGGGTCCATGTGGATGGACAACATGCTGCAGTTTTCATGCATGAAACCGACCCCACACCAACTGGTTCTGATCGCGAATTTCGTCCAGGAACCCTCACTGCGACGGCCTCCCAGAGTTTTGGCTTAACATTCAGGACCCAAACAGAGCTTGTCGTTCTTCTAATCTTCTATGCTTTATTTGTGCTTCCTTAGGACTGGGGGTGCCATTGGCTATATTTGAGCCACCGAATAAGCCCGGGGCAACCGGTCGCAGCACCGTCCAGGGTGGCGGAAAGCTGAACCACCAGCCCTGGTCCGAAAGAGTTTCGAGGGCCCTTTCAAGTAGCTCGTACCTTCGGTAGCTTGAATCTCTGGACATGAACTTCCTTGGAGAATCCCTCTTCACCTGAGAAAATTGTGGACGCTTCATTGGCGGCTTCAGTCTATCTTCCAAACCCAAACCACCGAATGTGATCGGGGAAGCCCCACACATCTGGGCATTTCTATTGGGAACCCCAAGTCTTGGGGTTTCCCGTTGGCTTCCCTGAATTCATCAACCACACAAATGGTACCAACTCCACCTCAAAAAGCCCAGGTGGTATCCCCAACATCAGCCCCAGAGCGCTTCAAGAACCCTAGCCCAAAGCCACTCTCAACCACTCTAGAACATATATATATATAGTACATACCCTCCATCCAACAATCATGGAAGCTGACAGTCTGACAGGTGGATTTTTGAAGACGGTGCTCTTGAAAAGACCTCCAAACCAGGACTGGAAACGGGGTGCGGTGTAGTCAGACATAACATAAAATTCAGCTACTTGCAAAGAATTCGAAGGGCAAACACTTGTCGCACATATCTGGATGTCTTGTTGCTGAGGGCACCCTTTTGGGGTGGCTGTAAAGAGAATTCAAGCGAAGTCATATCGCTCATTCTAAGGTTCCCTTATTTGGAGACAACCCCAAACTTGGGGCAATCCCTCGCCATGGCTGGCACCGAATTCCGGACAAAAAACGTAACGCCAGCCTCTTGGGCCTTAAAGTCCAGCCTGGGCGCGAGCTCCGAAATGCAGAGTTTCAGGACAGCGTGGCTCGCTGCCTGGGGGTATCATAGTATCCCATTCTGGTTGGTTTAAAGGGAAGCCAGAGGAAAGCCACTTCATGACCCAACGGCTGGTGGTATCCCAAAAGGGTTCAGATCAGTTTCCCACTCCGAAAAGAGACCAACCCATATTTGTTTCTGTCTTTCAGGGAGCCCCCTTGAAACTGTTGCAATTGTGGGGTCCCTGTTGGTGGCTTTCAAGGTCCCTCGATGCGCCAAACCCATATCACAAGGGTCAGCGGGTTGTTCAAACCGCAGAACAACTAACAGAGCAACATGACACCAGGGCAAAACCAAAGAGGTCCCTTTTTCTGACAAGCCATGCGCCAAGCCATGTGCGCTGAACGGCACCCGATCCAAACAGCTCCACGCACCATGCAGCTGACATCAAATGTTTGATGACCCCAAGGTATAAACGTAAACCCAGCCCCAGGCGGAGTGATTTCCATCCACTAAGAAGTGGAACCCCTTGGCTCACAGGACTGCTATCATGTACCCCTCGGCGCACAGGTGTGACTTTTGCTAGGGGACCCTTTTGTGGACGTCATTTAAGTGGGAATTCATTCACCGGCCACTTTGGAGATAGCCACACTGCTTGCCATGGGGCATGGATCTGCCTGCCCACCATCGGAAGTCCGGATGCTGTCCCATCCGCAGCACCGCCGCCAGCTGAGACTGCGACGCGGGGCTGAGCTCAAAATGGTGGCCCCTTGGTTGGCATTTACTATGTTAGCTTTTGGTTTCTGGGCCAAAAAAGAAACGCAGGTCGAAAACAAACAGCTGCTTCAAAACAAACCAAAGAGGGCTGCAACAGTTCTCGAGCCAAGTTTGCTTCTGGCCTCCGGAAGCTCCGACAGGCTCAGCACCTCCCCAAACCTCACCTAACCGGGTGAACACAACACAGGGGGGAGTGAACTGGGAGGTCAACTCCTCCAACCACAAATCCACCAAAAAAGGTTACCCGAATTATAAGATCCCTGAGTCCTGAGTCAACAAAATATGGGCCAAGGCAATGGGAACCCCAGCGAAAGTCCTTCATAGATGAGCTCGTTTTACCCCGGATCAGTGAGCTCGTTGTAAATTACCTGGAACAATTACAACTGCTCATGGGTGGGTGTCTCAAAACTGCGGAATCCGATGCTTAGATTGTGTTTTTTAGGGACACCGAGGAATGCTACCAGGGGGTCCCTGCTCTGTTCCTATCTCACACATGCATCATATGGGTGCTTCTCAAAATTGGGGACCCCTTGAGGTGGTTGGCTTCCTTTTGGTTGCCTACTATCCCAAAAGGGACCCCTACTTTGAGAAACGCCCTTATGAGAACACAATCGCGGCGAATGCAGGTGCATGCATGAGAGTGACCGGAAGCGCTTGGGTTTCTGGCAGCCCGCTTCGAAGGCATTCCCTTATGTACAAAGGCGGCAGTTCCGTGGCCGTCTAAATTCTTGCCGTTAAAAGGGGCAGCTGTCACTATTTCCTGGCCTCGCTTCTCATCGAAAACGATGGGCTCCTTGCGGGGTTGGGACAACTCAGTCAGGTGGCCACCGGAACCCGTTAGAACCTGTTTGGGTCTGATTTCCCTGCAAACCAACCTGACAAGGGTACCTCCAACACAGGACTAACCCTGGCTCCTTTGGTGCATCCCTCCGTAATCAGCTCGTTGGCGCCGCAGCAGGCCCACGCGCAAGGCACGTGCCCGTCGATCGCCAGCCGCAGATTCAAATTCCCCGGGCGAGCGCCCAGGCCCTCCGCCCAGTGGCCCTTGGAGCCCCAGCCCTTGAAGCCCAAGCCTCAAAGTCTCAAAGTCGATGGAACTGCGGGGCAATCTGCTCTCACTCAAAGACTTCTACAAAGTATTTGTAAGACTCAAAAGGGCGGCTGCAGCTACTTATCCGGGTTTTGTAGCTGACATGTCAAGGGGAAACGGACCCCAAACATGGATAAGAACATCTATCGCATGGGAACGCGGAAGAAACATGGTGGCAAACGGTGGAGCAAAGTGGGGAATGACCTAGGAAATGGTGACAAAAACTGGGTGTAAGGAAAATTGGTGGACAGTCGGTAGAGAAACATGGAGGAAGACACAGTGAATGCATTTTCATATTCAGTACATATAACTGGTGAGAAAGCCATATTGGCGGCAAATCGCTCTTCGACGAAACATGCATGTAGAAATACGGTCGGCAACTGGCCAAAATGGTCCTGAATTTTCAACAAGCACCTGACCCCCCTCCCAATGCTGCAAACCCCATAGATGCTGACACAACCCGAAGCACGTTGCCGAATGTTGCCAGAAAACCTTGCAAGCTTGTTGGCTTGCAAGGTACAGGGAAACCAAACAGCACTTTTTGAGGCCCTTTTTAAACACGGCCTGTTTGCCGGTTTTTGCCCGCCAAAACTCGCAACAGCTCCCTTCTCGGTTTGGCACACCGCGCCTTTGGCCCAGTACCCGCCCCCGCGGAATCGCGCGGTGCCCGCAGATCGGATGGTGGCATTCCCGATGGAGCGCCAGGCCGCTCGCGCGTAGGTCTGCAGCCTTGGGTCATTGGCCATTCTCATTGGAAGTTTCTCGGAACAGGAAAACGATTGTGGGGGTCCACTACTTTGGAAACACCCTCTAGAAAAAAGACCCCAAAGGGGGAGACCACAAAGGGAAACCAATGTTGGCAGGGATACCAATCTCTGTTGGGATTGCCAAGGAAACCACAAAGGCCACCGTGCTTCCCTGACAGCATCTTGCGGACTTTTGAATGAGCAAATTACGGACCCTTTGGACATGGTTGGAACTCATGTCCACAACTTTTGAGGCTCCATCTCGTAAAATCCATCATGTCGACCCCTGATACATAAACCTCCTATTTGATTTCTGCAGGGGTCCCTGAATGGGAACTCCTTTCTAGGGACGGCCCCTCTTTTTCGTTTCGCCCAGGCAGCTGCTGCAACTCTGCACGGGTCCAATCCCCACTTGTCGGCGCCCCAGCTGTGGCGCCCGTGGCGAAATCGTCGGCGCGGGGCAAAAAGTCCCCGGGGTGGGAGTGACACGAAGCCTCCCCGTCCTGGCCAGGGGAGTCTTGGATCTTCTTAAAATGGACCCTTTTGGTTGGAAAAGGAAAGAAAACCAACGGAAACCATTCATGGTAGGCGATCCCTATTTTGAGCAACCCCCCAAAATTACACCAGCCTCGACCCCAAACAGCAAAAAACTGACAGGTCTGTGTAACCCAAAAAAGGCTTGTCTCCTTCATGTAAGGTGCGAAATTGAATAGCTTATGTGAACAACACATAGCTCCAATCAGTCCATGTATGTCCCTCGAGGAAGTCCCGTTCATCAACAGGAATATGCCATGTCAATGGCATGTTCGAGAGTGAAGGCCCCGGAGATAGGGGTGAATCAACCTATCACCTGGCATTTGTCAAAGGAAGTTTCGAAAGATCTTTCGTAGCACGGACACTCAATGCACTTTTCCATCACCGCAGCATTTGGTGGCCGTCTCGCTACTCTGCAGTCTCAGCAGCCTGCGGCCGAGACTGGACACATGCCATTGTTATCTTCTTCTCGAGCTCGGCTAAAGGTCTTGCCAAAAGCAAAAGCAACAGAGCACTTGCGTAAACTTGCAGACTGCGCCTTGTAGCGTTACGGCCGGGACATCCTCGCCTAGCAACGCAGACACACGCCGCGCCACATTGGCAAGCGTCAGCAAAGGTGCCCGTTTGGCGCGCACCTCTGTCACCCCGGCACAGCTCCAGAAAATCCTCAGTGTTTGAGACGGCAGTAGCTTGGTCATCCCGGGCCTTCATCTCTGTCGTGTCCAGCGCGCCGCGTGCTCCCAAGATGGCCAACGCTGGCTTCTCCATGCGCCCAACGCCGCTCCATTCTGGAAAAAGCTTGGCTTTGAACGTCAGCTCCATCTCGGAACCGTGTGAGAACTTTGCCCCAACTTACCAATGCTGGCTGCACAGTGGAGTTGGTGCTTATGGATCGCAGATTGGCGCTCACATGTGCGGTGAACGACCGGCGGCCGTCATTCCAATGCCGCTGGCAACAACTTCTGCGCCTTGCGTTCACTCAGCTCCAGCAGCTGAGCTGTTTCCAAGTTGTCAAGGTCAGCGAAGTAGGTTGCCAGGACAAGGCTCCTATGCATCAACCAATTTTTTGAAGGAGAACTCGAGCAGTGCAGGGACGACGCAAACAACTCTTACGAGCTAATGGTTTGGCTGGGGACCCGACTCACCCAGGCTTCAAAAACAGGACAATTCTTTCTGAAAACCGCTCAGAAAAAACCTTGGAGCTCGGACCCCCCCTAACGATGCAAAAAGAAGATAAGCACACCTGCTTGACTGTGTGTTCGCTTGTCCCTCTCTGCGATAGGACCAGATCTCCAAGAGCAAGTAACCAGGAAACCACCAAGCCAGGAAGCCCCTCTGCGATTGGCGAAACGGCTCTTGTTGATGGGACCCCAAAAAGAAACCATCAAACACGGCGGCGGCGTTAGCAACTCTTATTATATTATACAGCCGCCGAACATGTGTCGAAACATGGCCATGACCGTGTGTCCTTGTTGCAATCACCACATTGAGCACCAGAGCCGCCATTCCGTAATGCTGCTGGGGAGTTCGCCACGCACGCAGAGTGTCCAGCAGCACCGAAACCTTTTGCTTGAACGGGTCGGAATCGTTGTTCAAGGCGTAGTATGGGCCATGTCTGTAGCACGTGTTGCTTCGGTGAGCGATGGTCTTGATGCTATCAGCACATCCCTCCAGCTTGGTTTCCCGACCAGCCACGTGTGCTGCGAGCAAATAAATCAGAATCTCGCCCGGAACTGCCAAATTCAAGTCGAGATCTCGGAAAAGAACGTTGATTGCGAGAATGAAATGGAAATGCTCGGATTTCCAAAAATACTCACCGCGGGAGGCTAGCACAAGCGCCATGCAACACAGCCCACGTTGAACCTCTTTGGTGTTCCATGGGTCCAGAGACTGTAGGGAAGCTAGCGCCTCAGAGAATGGCACCTTACGACGTCCCGCGCCCGCGCTTGCAAGCCCTGGGCACTTTCGGACACGTGCAAAACAGCAGCGTCCATATTGCGGAATATGTGGAAAACAAGGCTGCGAAATCTGTTTTCAACCCCTGTCTGGAGGCAACGAGATATGTCAAAGCTGCGACCTTGGCAGGGTGTGGAATGCTTCAGCAAAATGCGTTTGTCAGTGGGACTGAATTACATAGGTTGCAATGAGGAAAAAGCGTCGCAGGACCAGCTAGCGAAGCGAAAGACTGAGAAGGTGCTAAATACTGGCAACAAGGTAGGAGGCAAGGTTTACAACAGCACGGCCAACAAGAAAGGGTGGTCGAACTACAGCGATGCTACCAAGAGGAGACTAGAAGATGGGTGGCCCGAAAGCATGAGCAGCGCACGGGGCCAAGTAATCCTAGCAAGTTCTCTGCGCAAGTTCCTCTGAGCAAGTTGTTGGCGCGAGTTCCTTTGAGCAAGTTCTCCAAGCAAGTTCTTGGCACAAATTATCTGAGCAAGTTCTCTCAGCAGTTTCTCTGAGCAAGTTTCAATGAGCAAGTTGTCTGAGCAAGCTCTCTGCGCGCAGCGCTTGCCGCAACACACTGCAACTTCCTGGTGCAACTCACTACTGCAACTTGCTAGCGCCACTTGCTCGTGCTACTTGCAGAGACTGGGAGACACAGGGAGACAAGTGGGAGAATCTGACCGGGAGACAAGCGGGAGACACGACCCAGCATCTGGCATCCAGACACAGGGAGACAAGCGGGAGACACGAATTCGGAGCCAGCGTCTCAGCATCTGGCATCCGACCGCAGAGCGTCATTCGACAGCAGAGACTGGGAGACACAGAAAGATAAGCATCTGACCGCAGAAACTGAGAAACACAGGGAGAGAAGCGGGAAACACAACCCCGGAGCCAGCGTCACACAGGGAGACAAGCAGGAGACACGACCCCGCAGCCAACGTCACAGCATTCACAGCATCTGGCATCCAGATACAGGGAGACAAGCCAGTGTCACAAAACACGGGAGCACAACCCCGGAGCCAGTGTCACAGCATCTGGCATCCAGACAGGGACAAGCGGGAGTCACGACCCCGGAGCCAGGGGACGGAGCCAGCGTCACAGCATCGACCCCGGAGCCAGCATCGAAGCATCTAGCGTCTGACCGCGGAGAGTGGGAGACGCAGAGACTGGGAGACACAGAGGGAGACACAACCCTGGAGCCACCGTCACGGCATCTGGCATCTGACCGGAGAGACTGGGAGACAGGAAGACAAGCGGAAAACAAGACCCGGAACCCGCGTCACACTTTCCCATTCTCTATACCTCAAGTTAGAACCCCAATGCTTCGCTGTTTGGGGAAAAAAGCCGAAAGGGAAGCCCAAAAACCCAGGACCTTTGTGACTTCTCTGGACTGTCCTTACCCTCTTCGCCAAGCTCGCCGCACAGCACGCAGCGCGCGAAGGCGGTGCAGAAGGTGCGGCGCCTGTCCCAGAGGCGCTGCTTTTGCCACCTGCGTCAAGGTCGAAACTCGTCCTTTGGGTTTTTTCTCTCAAAATAGTAGTTTCCTTGTGGCTTGCCCTTTAGAACCACCCACGAAGGGTTCCACCACTACTTCAAGAAACGTCCATGTGTCATGATTGTCATAGTCGCCTTGAAAGAGCAATCCTTAGAGTGGTTGCTTCAACTCCCTGAAGGGTCCATGAGCATCCATGAGACCCTCAAGTAAGCGAAAGACCGATTTGGACCATGGCGCACCTGCGGGCGAAGAGCATCTTCCAGTCTGTCGACTCGGGCTGAGTTGACTCGAGCGCAGCTCCACAGACCGAGAGGTACATCGACGGGAAGTGCAGGTTGCAGAGCTTCTGCCACAAGGTCTGCTCCTTTTGCATCATCTGCCTTGCTTCGCTTTTGCTAAAGTCAAACTTTGAGTGGGACAAGACACAAAGCCAAACTCAAAATGTCTACAAGTCTATGGGTATGGGAACCGAGCTGCCAAACGGCTCTGGAAGCGGCTTCACAATGGCACACTTCCAAAACATCCACCCAACCTAAACACCTCAGCCACAGCTCTGCCGGCAGCTTCCACCCGAGTTCCATGGCCACCTCCAAGGTCGCCCGCTTGGGCGCCGGAAACGGTTCCGGGCCTTTGGCGGCTGAAGCTTTCTTGGAGGCGGGGTGCTCGCGGTGTGGCACCACATCCCGTGCCCGGCCCTTCTTGTGAGGCATCGGGGTAGCAAAAGCGGCCGCAACGGCGAGCCGCCGCGCCCGGCTTGAGCTTGCTTCGGGCTGCGACAAAAGCAAGGAGTCTCTGACAAGAACACACAACGCAATAACATCGGCAAGTCAAAAAGGCGTGATCAGCCTAAATCAGCCACGAAACAAATGTAAAAGCGGTGTTGGTGCCAGAATGAAAAATAGCGCATGTTCTTAGGGTGGAAGCCACAAGGACATCGCGGCAGCGTTGTCACATCTCTTGCACGCCTGTCCGGACTTCAATCGCCGCTGCGGCTTTCTGCTCGCCTTGCCTGACCAACCATGCCGGAGTCGGGAGAAATTACGGATCTTGCCGGTCAAACAAAGACTGGCACTGTTTCTGAAGAGACCCATCCCAATCACAGACTTTGACAACCCCGCCACAAGTGGATTTCAGGGCTTTGCCTTCTCCATGATCTCCCCGCTGCCTGATTGGGCATCATGGCAGGGCTTACACCTCATATCAGGACTCACAACAAGCGCTTCATGTCGGGCCTATGAGACGCACAGACTCGAAATGTTCACAACTTGAAATTGTTCTGTCCCAATCCAATTGTTTATGCTGGATGGTAAGAGCCCAAGCCATCTGTTTGCAATCTGTTTGCTTGCTGCCTTTACGGCTGGAGGCAAACACCTTTCTGCGGGCTTTCCAGACGGGGGGCCAGCGAAGGCACATTTGATGCCAAGCTTCTTGGCCAGAGGCTATAGGTTTCGTTGGCAAACCATAAGCGGCCAGGCGATGTCGATGCAGTCAGGAGTTTGCCCCGATTTTTTCACAGGGAGAGGGCGTGATGAAAATTTGGCCGCCTAAACTCTTTGACTAAGCTTGTCTAAGTGGGAGAACCCCCAAAATGGCTTCCGTGTGGCATCCTTTGTTCCAACCCAAAAAAGATGGAAATGGACAGGAATGAAAAGGGCGCTCGTTCGTTTCCATTGAAAAAAGGGTATCCTCTCCGTGCTGCCAACTCAGTACGGCGCTGATGCCAGTAAGCCTTGATCTCCTGCAGAAGCCGGCTTGTGGCATAAGACCATGCGGGAAGTTCCACAACCCGTCGAAACCTGGGGTTGTACCCATTTGCCATTCGCATAATTTCCTGGACCTGGTTTCTTGGCTGCGACTTGAGATATGTGCTTCCCAGCCTCGGCAGTGTAGGTGCCCGAGTAGAAGTCGCGGAGTTCTGCCCAAGTGTAGTCTTGCCTGCTGGAAGCCCTGCAAACCCCCAAAGGAAAATGGGGCTATACAACCACTGGAAGGTGGGTATATACAAATATCATATATATATATATATATATGATATTATACGTATCTAATGAACACCCCCTTGGATCAGAGCAAAACACTTCGAATCCATGGTCGCACCCGTCGGCAGGATCCATGCGGCGCGACATGGCACATCTCTAGGCCCACAACAAGGAGCTCGCTAGCTGCTGGATTCGTGGATTGCTTGGGGAGTAGGTGTCAAAAAGCGGCACCCCATTCACTAAGGTGAAAAGTGGAGGGGTGAGAGGATAAGCCATGGCGGCCCAGCCGAAAAAATGGTCAACCAAAGAGATCTGCATGGACTTGCATAACCATGCCCCGCATACTGCCATCATGCAGTGCTCTTGGCTTTGAGCCAGCAAATGCCACAAAACAGTCACGCTCAATGGTTTTGAAAGAGAACCTTGGAATGTGTGGAGGTAGCCTTTGACATAAGAACAGCCAAGGACTGGATCGACCACTTGGAATGTACCAGCCAGGGACATAAAGCACCCAGGGAATGTGTCAAAACCAGGGACCCCTTCCGGCCGTTTGAAAGGAACACTGAAAGCAAGCCGACCACGCGGATGGGGCCCCTACCATTGACACGTCCCTGCAGCGAACCGCGCCGGGTGAACGGGGCGGCCACTCAACTCCCAGTGGCCTAGGCAGAAAGCGGCAGAAAGCAGCTCGTGTCGCTCCACCACTGTCGGATCGGGGGGCCCGGGCCAATCCACTGGACGGTCTGGACGTCGTGGGTTGTTCAACTGCACAGATACGGCACAAGGAAACAAGAGAGACAGACAGACTGACGGACAGACAGACAGACAGACACGACAGAGCGACCGAGCGACTGCACGAGCGACCGACCGATTCACCGACAAGCAAGGCAGGCAAGCAAGCCAGCCTGCCGAGCAAGCAAGCGAGCAAGGCAAGCGAGCAAAGCAAGCGAGCAAATCAAGCGAGCAACGCAAGCGAGAAAAGCAAGCGAGCAAAGCAAGCGAGCAAAGCAAGCAAGCAAAGCAAGGACTGTGGCCCGACTGAGCACGGCTTCACGACTGGTTCACAAGTGGGAAGAGGCTGGTCCTCTGTCAGGACTTTTTTGTAAGACGCACCAAAAAAGGCGACATTTTTCTGTCACCCCGGAGTCATCGTTGCAGTGTCGTTTTGTTCACGGCACACGGTTGCAGAGCGGTCTCGGCCTCGTAGTAGAGGGCGTTGCGTGCTGTGGGATGCCACCTATCATCAGGTTCGGTTTCCATCTGATTTTCCGAATTGCCGATCGGTCTTAAATCAAAGGCGACACTCATATTTCTTCCCAGGCCTTGCAACATTCAAGGAGCACTATAAATCATGGCTCACTGGCAAAGTGCCATCTGTGCCAAGCAACTGGGCTTGTTGACCATACATCTCTTTGCCACCACACTGTGTCACACAGCTTCAGGCCTACTGGTGCCTGGCCGGAATGGCGGATATCTGCGCATGTAGCGTCCATTGCGTCGTCCGTGACCTCCAGCCTGACACATTGGCACTTCAATAGGCTCAACGATTTGGGTGCGCGCCCTTTGGGGGCGCATTTTTGGGCTGGTGTCAAAGACCGAAACCCAAGAGACACACCCATTCGGATCTCAAACGTCAAAGCTACAAAGGGAACTCCTGTCTTGGATCCTTGTTTGGCCATGGTTCAAAGGAAAACGGAAGACCAAAAATTTGGAGACTGAGAGGGCCATTTTTTGGCGCGAACAAACGAACGGAACTACGCCAAGGGGCTGCAAGCTCCTCTTCCATCTCCTCTGCTGTCCGGGACCGATGGCGGTGGCTTCCAGATTCGGAACCTGAGAAATGAAGCAAAGTGCCGAAAATCCGGGGAGCCGTCCCCGCAGTTGTGAAACAGGTGGAAACCAATCATTCTGGTATGGCTCGTCAAAACGGGGGAGGGACCGCAGCAATTGTGGTTTTCCTTTCGGCTTCCCTAGCCCAAGTTGAAAAGGGTAACCTCAAAAATACGAACACGTGACACAAACACGTGACACACGGTTCTGAGAGCCAGACCCAGGAAGTCCGACGCTCGCTCTTTGCGGCTAACGACCTGATCGACGCCATAGGGCAGGGGGTTGTGGACCCAGTCCTTGGTGCTGCAGGGCGTCATTTTCGGCCGATTCTTATTGTGAACGTACCCCTTTTTGGGCTTGCTGAAAGGGCAACCAACACCGAAATCCATTTCGGGGGTGTTTCAACTCCCAACACGTACACCTGCTTGATTCCCCCCCAAACAAGAAATGAAGGGAAGGGATCGACATCCCTGGGTTTGAGTCTTTGAAGTAACCCAAGATTGGAGCCCTGCTGAGCAGCATCCACTCCGGGGCGCCGACCAGGATGGTCTGGCAGGCGTTGTTTGGGCTACCCGGCTGTCCTTTTGGTGGTTGCTTGAAACAGAAACGTAACCAGGGAGAACCACCCATTTTGAAAGCTCCCCTATTTGCAGATACCCCATATGATGGGCATGGAAAAGGGGAAAAAGAACTCTCTCTCGCGTGCCAAACACCTGCGACAGAAGCTAAATACAATTCGACATCTACAAGCCCCTGACCTGGTTTCAGCAACACGTTTGCGCCGCCCATAGTGGCTCCAGAGCGGCTGACCGCAACAGTGCGCTGGCCTGCTTGACTGCACCGCCGAGTCCTGGGCGATGTGAACGAATAAGGCCATGTGTCCAAAGGCAGTCAAAACAAGCAGGAACCCCTCGTGGCAAATCTTCATGGACCTCAAAACTGTTGCAACAGTTTTTCGTGCTGGCATGTTGTGTGCCGAGCATCGGCCGAGCCAGGCCACGATGTCCTGTGGGCAATGACACGGGTTGTCCAATGGCTATATGGGTGCTTCTCAAATAGAAAAAAACACTAAAATCAGTGCCCTAAGGGCCCCAGGGCCAGTGTCCCGCATTTCGCGACACACCGCTGGTTTGATTGCAATGTGTTCGCTAGTCCTCGCCAGGGTGTACACTCCGTTCAAGATCTGGAGGATCTTGGCCGGAAAAGCAAGTCAGGCTGGCCCCTAATCGAACATGGGACCCCAAAAGGGGGACAAAGGAGACTCCGCAAAATGGCCAGTTGGGCGTTTCTAGCCCCTCAAATTGTCAGAGGCGTGCAATGCACCCATAGCTCTCCCCCTTTCTCTTGTTCTGAGGCTTGGGCAACCCACTCGCGAACGCAGCTGAGCGCCCTAAGTGCGTACAACTTGTACAACTGAGATCTGTATTTGTTTCCTTGGGAAACCAAAGGTGCCAAGGCAACTTCCTGGAAAGGCCTGGTTCGCATTGAACCTTCTGAGGCGATATAGGTGTGACCGACTTGGACCAATCTTCTTCGCAAGCAAGTGGCTGAAGGGGCCGCCACAAAGCTCACCTCCACCACCGAAGGCATGGCGTGGGCCACGGTTTTTACTGTCCTTCCTGCTGATGGGTTGATGTGTCCAATGGGAACCCAGGATGAAGCAAATCCCTGATTGATGAAATCAAAATTAAAAGGGGGGTTGTAATCGGAACCCAGGATTAAGCAGAACTCTTGTTTGACTTGAAGTTGGGCTGTCCCATTTTAAAAAAAGGATCCGGATCACTTCTGGGGGTAGACACTTCCAAATAATCCACGAGGCTGAGTAATCCGCGTCAACATTAGCAAGTGAGACGGAGTGATTCCTTGTGCATAATTTGCCTTGCACTAGTTTGATGCACGTACTGATGCAGTACTTCTGCGTGCAACTTGTGGACAGGCTTCGCGGGCAGCACAAGCAAGTTTCCTGAAGCCTCAAACTACCCTTCAAAATTGGACATCACCCCATTGTTGGAGCAACATCCCAGCTGAATCATAATGTAAGGGTGGCTTGAGGATCTTTTGGCCGTTGCAGCCCCGCGCACGCTTTGCCGCGAAGCTTTTCCCCGCGGAGAACAGGTCACTTGGCCGGACACCCCACTTCGTCCAGGACCATACTCTCGACCTTGGCAACTGAGAGCTGTGCTGTGCATCGGAAGTGAAGGCTGTCTATCCAAAGCCTTGCAAGGTTGACCCAAGAAAACATATTGGTCAAAATCAACGCCGCGGCAGTGGATGCAAGCTTTCTTTCCAGGCCTGGATACGCTATCTGCAATGTGGAATCTAATGTGATCAATGTGTTTCTCCAACGAAAGGTAGTAGCATTTGTTCCTTGTGCCTTTCTTCAAAAACCCACAAACCAAACGAGGGCGTGCAGCCCAGAAATTGGCGTGCTTCTTTCTTGCATCTTGCTGTCACCCGTCCGAAAATAGGGATTCGCCCCCCTTAAAATGGAAGCGTTCCTTGGGTTCCCCTTTAAAACCAGTCCCTCAAAAAACCGCACACACCTCTGCGCCGGCTGCTCGCTGATTGTCAAGCCGGCACACGTAGTTGTCCATGGCAGCATTGACGTCTCGGATGACCATCTCCACAGCAGCAAGGGCGATACTGTCGGCCAAGAACGGCCACACCACCTCAATCCGAACTCCAGCCAGGAGAATCCATAAGATTTCTCAAAGTGGGTGAACGCCGCATTCAGTTGATGTTGCTCAGACACTCGAACCAAACAAAAACCAGCAGTTGGTATTTCGAGGGAAACCGCAAGGATGCCTATGTTTTAAGGGGACCACAAATACGTTGAAAGCTCAAGAGTCGCCGCAAGAAGGAATGGCAGTCAAACTAAGGTGCCTGCCCACGTGGCTGTTCTGGTTTCGCTGCTTTGAATCCCGGCCTCAGGTCAGAAATACAGTGCTCCCAATATCTTCACCAAAAGGAGCCCAAAAGGTGATGTTTGAGACCACCAAACGGGGCAATATAGGGACTCCTGAAACAACCTTCCCTGGTCCGACGAGCCCACGCCTCACGTGCCACCAAGCAATGCTGCGCGAAGCGAGCGCCTCACGATGAAAACAATGGGTCGAGCGCTTGATGGACTACTAGACTACCTTTGTATGGAACCCTAGGAAACGTTTTGCCATTTGCAAAGCTCTGACTGAGTGCCCCAAACCCATTGACTGTTGCTTCTACGAGCATTGTTGCACAGGAGAAAGCTCTAACATAACTGGGGTTCGGCACACGTTGGAGCAATTCGTTTCCCTTGTGCCTTGCATGAACTGCCGAGCCGCGGTACCGCTCCAGCTCTCTCACCCTCTCTGGCGGCAGCGACGCAAATGGCAGCTCCTGCGGGCGAGAGAAAGAGAGAGAAAGAGAGAGAAAGAGAGAGAGAGAGAGAGAGAGAGAGAGGCCCTCTCTCCAACGATACATTCTAAGAACCCCTTCTAAGAAGGTTCTAAGACTTTTTTTGGGGGGGGCCTTTGGTTGCTTCCGCAATGGGGGAAGCGGACAGGGGCCTCCCGGTAACGAAAGTAGTCTTCTGAAACCACCTGTCAGGCATGTCGCCAAAGAGAGAACCTCACTGTTGATTTTGGCGGCAGCGGGAAAGGACACGCTATACATGAAAAGAAGGTACCCTCCAAAAACATTGAGAGAGAGAGAGAGAGACAGAAAATACAAAAGCAACGCACGCACACTCACAAACACAAGGACACAGACACGGTTACAGACATGGACACAAACACATATACACAGACAGAGAAACACACAAACACCCGCACCCGCACACATGCAAGGATTCTGATCGCAAGGGGGAGGATCAGCGACCTTGCAGTTGATCAAGTTGTTCAAGCCGATGGCAAGGGTTATCAACCCTACTAGTAAGGATTCTGGCCCATGCCAACGTCCATGGTTCTGTCTCCCAATGGGGAGACTCCTTTGTTGGGTGATTTTGAAGGGAAGCCCACAAACACACACACACACAGAGACACACACACACACACACGCAAAGAGAGAACCACACACACACACACATACACACGCACCCACACACACACAAAGGAAGAAAGAAAGAAAGAAAGAAAGAAGAAAGAAAGAAAGAAAGAAAGAAAGAAAGAAAGAAAGAAAGAAAGAAGAAAGAAAGAAGAAAGAAAGAAGAAAGAAATAAAGAAAGAAAGAAAGAAAGAAAGAAAGAAAGAAAGAAACACACACACACACACACACGCACAAACAAACAAACAGACAAACAAACAAACAGACAAACAGACAAACAGACAAACAGACAGACACACAAACAGACAAACAGACAAACAGACAAACAGACAAACAGACAAACAGACAAACAAACAAACAAACAAACAAACAAACAAAACAAACAAACAAACAAACAAACAACACGCACACATGTGGAGGCTCCTCAGAGTCTTCGCTCCCGGCGCGCCCCGAGTCCGGACAGGTGCGTGAACCACATGACAGCGACCAGGCAGTCTTGACTCCACGTTTGTCGCATCCGGCCTGCAGCGTCGGATGGGAAACACCAGTGGCATGCAGCGTCCTCTTGGAATGCGCCTTAAGGCCAACCAAGTTTGTCATCCTGGAAACCCATATATGACGTTTTTTTCTCTCCATACGCCTTGAGCCATAAAAAAAGACCATACGGTCATTTACGGTTTTTTGTCAACAATTTGTTGAAAAAATACGGGTTGCATACGGCCAAATACGGCCACCGGTAAGCAAAAAATGACCATACGGGAAAAACGATCCAAATATGGGTTCCGTCCAAAAAAAAATGGCCATACGGCTTTCCAGGATCAAATATAGTATGACCATTTTAATATAATCTTCACTGGAGATCATGTCAACAAGTCCGAGCTGCTTCCGGCCGGTCACCGTAAGCCATTCGAAGTTCATGTTCCAGCAGCTGCAGTTTGTCTGCAGCAGTCTGTACCTATGCCAGCATCCATGGACGCGAAAAAAATGCCTCTCATCTCTAAGGCCAGCACCATGCTCGAGAGAGCATCTGGAGGATCTGGCGCAACCTCCACCTCACCTGCCACACCTGCCAGGCGCCCGCAAAGTCGCGAAAGTCTCCCGAAGAAGAGCCTTAACCCTAGTTTGAAAGGTGTTGTGGAACCAACCTAGCATTGGGCTACTCCCCTACAGACCAACATCAGAAAGAAAAAAAAAAAGGAGAACCCCTCTGAAAAATCATGGTGTTTTGGGGGGCACCCCATGTTAATCCGCAGGGGAGTACCACTAATTGTGTCAGTTGCTCGTGACAAATTCGTTGCACGAGTTCACTGCCTGGAACCGAACGGTCAGTCTCCCGGCGCTTGTCCGGCAGCGTGTCCAAATGTCGCACTGCGTCTCCTCGGTTGCCCCAAAATGGGCCGGCCCAAAGGAGAATGATGGCTCTGGGTTCCATGTTATGGGCAGTGAAAGCAAATGGCAAAAGTCCCTTTGCGGGAAAGGGGGTGACTAGTGACCAAAAAGGAGAATTGTACCATCTACTTTCACCGGACTGTTCTGCAGGCTTGGGGTGAGAACGTTCGGGCATGAAAAAGAATGCCATGAATTCAGCTTTGATTCCAAGGATGTGCTCCAACACTTGATCTGTAAGGAGGTCTGCCTCGGTCGCCAGCAATGGCTTGCGCGCGTGCACGACTTGCAAGCCCGCCTTCTCGATTACTTTTGAGCTGTTTTGCCTGGGCAGCTCACCCACCGGCCACTTTTGTCATGCACACAAATGCGACCAAACGAACGACAAGCAGTGCAGCTATGACAAGGCACCAAAGAAGTTCTTTGCCACATCGCGCATCATGTTGTTTGCGACCTTGACTTTCACCCAGCAGGGCGCTCAATCGTTGTGACAAACTTCGTACCTGTGGCGGCTCTGTCTCCATGTGGACTGCAGCTGCTGGTTTGGACTGACACACCAGCACATCCTGCCGGATCGGCTTTGCGTCCGGTAGCAGAATTGCTAGCCTCTGCTCCAGGCTGGAGGCACTTCGCGTCCGCTGCACATGCGCAACCCCCAGCAGCTCTGGTGCAGGGGGTACTGGCTGCGTTGGCAAAGGAGTGATCGCAGCAACGGGCTCCCAGATCGGCGGTCGTTGGGCCAACAAGGGCGGAGGCGGAGCATCCCAAATGGGTCGTGCAAGTTCCACAAAGTCCGCAGAATCTCTGACAGATTCCCTGACAGAGCCTCTAACAGATTCTCCCACGGATTCTCTGACAGACTCTCTGAAGGACTCTCTGAGAGATTCTTGCGAGGCACGGAAACTGTTCGCAGCTCCGGGGCTTGATGCTCTCCTCATGGTGCCCTGTAGCCTGCGCCGCAGCTGCCCAGGTCTGTGATGCGCATGCTGCGTATGCTGCACTTGGGAAGCTGCTCGCTCGCGCTCCCGAGCCCGCCGGGGGTTCCCCGCGGCCGCTCTGTCGGCTCTGTCCCTTTCCCTCCTGTAGCTTTGGAAGATGGTTCTGAGCTGCGTGTCAAAC